AACCCTTCCTATGCATTGTCCCAAGTGAGAGTATCATTACCATCTGTTCTTCTTACTGGACATTTTAAAGTACTTGTACAAAAATGGTGTTAGGGATATAGTAAAGTTACTTCTAATCTTTTAATTGGCTTCTGCCCTTATTGCTGTTTGAGCAAAGAGAAAAGACCCTCATAAAGAACTGTAAGGACAAAAAGACTTACTTTTAATTGTGACCCCAAGAATTATCAATATCCCTATTAAAAGAGACAAGGGCTTCATCTTCTCTCAAGCAGCTCCTCTTCACTGTAGCACAGGCAGAAACTAGGTGGTTGGCCCAAGAGCTCCTCTTCTCAGGGCTGTGGCGGGGCAGGAGTCAGTTGCTAAGCAACCATTTCCTTACTTTTGGGCCAATGGGCTGCCAGGGAATTCCTTTCAAGCCAGAATGAAGGCAGCTGCTGGAGAATGTAGGCTGTGGGAAGGATCCACTGCTATTCCTCTGGCTGAAGATAAGGGGTAGGCTAGAATAAGTAGAGGTGACTCTCTAATATGAAATGAAGGGACCAGAAATCCAACTTGTATGTGTCCACATATCCAACTTTGTTCAGAGGTGCTGGAAGTTCTTATTTTTAAGTTGCCTCTGGAGGTATGAACTACACTTACGTAAAAACACAAGTACATGAATTGATCTGACATCATCGTTTAAGCTGACATCTCTAGGGTATGATGGACAAGAAACAATGGGTTAACTCTGCTTTGTTCCCAATCTGGATGAAAACCTTTATCCTATTTTTAAGTTAGGAACTGCTGAGGATTTACTAGAACAAAGGCAAACAAAGACTGTTTAAAAATGCCTTTAAATACCTCAAAATAATACAGACATTTCACAAGTAGATACCTTTAAAGCTACGAAAAACTGAAATAAGTATTTAGGGAAAACATATAAATATTAAAAATATCCAAGTCACAGAGCTAGTTGAGAAATTATGCCTACAAAAAATATCCAACTTTTACAGTGTGTCCAGGTAATTACTTCAGAAATAGACATTTTATTGTCTTGAATTTACAGTTTTACTCTTTTTTTTATCAGTTTCCCATTGCTGTGGTAAAAAATTATCACAAACTTCATGGGTTAAAACAACAGAAATTTATTCTCTCATAGTTCTAGAGACCAGAATTCCAAAATGATTCTTACACGGCTAAAATCAAAGACAAGGCTAGCTCTTTCTGGAGGCTCCAGGGAAGAATCCATTCTTGGGCTGCAAATGTTCAGCTCCTAAGTGGCTGCCAGCATTCCTTGAATTGTGGCCACATCATTTCAGTCTCTGCTCAGTCATCACTTGCCTCTGTAGTTTAAACTCCTTTTGTCCTCCTCTTATAAAGACACTTGTGATTACATTTAGGGCCCACCAACATGATCTGGGACAATCTCTTTCTCTCTCAAGATCCTTAATGTCTGCCAGTCACGGTGGCTCATGCCTGTAATCCCAGCTCTCTGGGAGCCTGAGGCAGGTGGATCACTTGAGGCCAGTAGTTGACCAGGCTGGCCAAGATGGCAAAACCCTTTCTCTACAAAAACACGAAAATTAGCCAGGTGTGGTGGTGGGCACCTGTAGTCCCAGCTACTTAGGAGGCTGAGGCATGAGAAGCGCTTGAATCCTGGGGACGGGGGCCTGGGAGGTGGAGGTTGCAGTGAGCAGAGATTACACCACTGCACTCCAGCTTGAGCGACAGAATGAGACTCCATCTCTAAACAACAACAACAAACCCAAACTGCTTTATAGGAAAATCAATGAAGGTATATAAGAGGAAACAGAACAAAGGTCAGGTGGGGTCAGAGTCAGGGAAGGCTTTGCTAGGAGTGATGTTTAAGCTGTAATATTAAGAATGAGAGTGGGTCAGCTAAATAAATCATGTCCCAAGTGTTGCAACAAACATGTTAAAAGGTTATGTGGTATTCCAGAACATGAAACACTCTATGGTTTGGTATGGCTGGAACCAGAGACTGGGGAATGGGGGTGACAGTGGAGCATAGTATAAAATAAGGCTGGAATAGTAGGTGATAGTTGCTCCATTCTTAATAATTTAATTGTTATAAAAAGACTGTATTAGCTTAGGCTACTGCAACAAAATAATATAGACTGGGTGACTTTCCACAGCAAAAGTTAATTTTCTCACTGTTCTGATGGCTAGAAATCTGAGACCAGGGTTCTGGTGAGGGCCTTCTTCCTGCTGGCAGATGGCTACCTTCTTGCTGTGTCTTCACATAGCAGGGAAAGGGGATTGGGGGAGAGCGTGAAAGAGATCTCCTTCTTATAAGGCCTCAGTTCTATTAGCCTCATTCACTGTTATGACTTTATTTAACCTTAATTACTTCCTAAGACCTTATCTCCAGATTTAGTTGCATTGAAGGTTAGGGGTTCAACATATGAATTTTGGAGGCACATAAGCCAGTCCATAGTACAGACCACCAGAAAGTCATTGAATGACTTACAGAAGTGAGAAGATGTGATCACTCATGACAAGATATCCCTAGATGCAGTGTAGACGATGGACAGAAGAAGTGCAAAAGTGGGCATGAAAGCCACTTAGGAAGTCTTTGCAATAGTCCAGTTAGATTCAGACTGAGTTTACTGCAATGCTATTGGAAAGTAGAGTGATGCCAGACTTACAGACTACTCAGTAAAATTGCATGGGTATGGCAACGCATTCGATGTGAGGGTGAAGTTATAAGAGGTATCAGGGATAGTGCTTAGGTTTCTAGATTTTTCAACTAAATGGGTAATGGAGCCATTCAAAGAGATAGGGAAAACTGGGAGAAGGAGCATGAGTTCAGTTTGGTACAAGGCACGTTTCAGGTATTTTAGGGATGTTAAATATTTAACACTTTTGAATGATAATGGTATTTTGTCAAAGTGATTAATACTAAATGCTGGAACAAATGCCCTCTGCATACTGTTTTTTGAGACAGAGTCTTGCACTTGTCCAGGCTGGAGTGCAGTGGCACAATCTCCGCCCACTGCCATCTCCACCTCCTGGGTTCAAGCGATTCCCCTGCCTCAGCCTCCCGAGTAGCTGGGATTAAAGGTGCCTGCCACCACACCTGGATAATTTTTTGTACTTTTAGTAGAGATGGGGTTTCACTAAGTTGGTCAGGCTGGTCTCAAACTCCTGATCTGGTGATCCGCCTGCCTCGGTCTCCCAAAGTGCTGGGATTATAGGCATGAGCTACTGTGCCCAGCACTTTTCACATTTCTATATAAGAAGTCAATATCCTTCCTACAAAATCTGCAACTGCTCCTGTATTGCTTAATATTAATATTGCTATTTGCCACCTTACCCATCCTATGAAATGCTTTTCTCCTCACCTTTTTCTCAAAATCTATTTCATTATTAGGTTTTATTATTTTTCCTTGGTAATGTCTCTAATCGAAGACCTCTTTCTATTTCTAGTGCCAATAAATAAGTACATATTTTTATTACTAGCTCAAATGTCACTTCCTTCTTGAAGCCTTCTTTATGTCTCCCAAATCCATTTTTTACGTATTTCACAGCATTAAAAGAAAAACAGGCCGGGCATGGTGACTCACGCCTGTAATCCCAGCACTTTGGGATCACTTGAGGTCAGGAGTTCAAGACCAGTCTGGCCAACATGATGAAATCCCATGTTTACTAGAAAATACAAAATTAGCCAGGTGTGGTGGCACAGGGCTGTAATTCCAGCTACTCTGGAGGCTGAGGCAGGAAAATTGCTCGAACCTGGCAGGTGGAGGTTGCAGTGATCTGAGATGGAGCCATTGCCCTCCAGCCTGAATGACAAGAGTGAAACTCTGTCTCAGAAAAACCAAAACACAAAAATTACCTCAGGATGTTGTGAATCATCCTTAGGCAAGTGTCCAACTACTAAAAATATTCCATTCTTTACAATTCTTATTGGGGCCTCCTCCTTTCTTCCTTTTCTCTTCTATTTTTAAAAAATGTGTTCCAAATAATTATTTGCCCAATACATGTAACAGAGTACTGAAATTGCCAAATAAATGTGGATTTGCCACATCTACTCAATTAGCGTTGAAGATGATCTGATATATAGAATTACAATAAATTTGGGGGGAGGGTACCACACTTCTGAATTATAGGTCACCCTATTCTTGTGGTGGACTTCAGTGAAACTGGATTTGCAGAACCTGCTGGGTTAGTATTATCCAGAATCAAGCCAGCTTTTTGGACATGCGTCTTAACTTTACACAACTTGAAGAATAAAGTAAGACCATTTGGCTCTGTTTAACAAGCATTTGGATTTGTTTTGATGTAAGACGTGTTTCCAATACAACATTTTGGTTGTCCGCAACTTTTTGGTTCTGAAAACTGTCTTGAGTATCCCAGTCTACATTTGTTCTTTCTAAACTTCACCAAATTCCAATGAAATTTGTAATTTTCACTACAATTTTGAGGAGCCAACTGCATACGGTGTGGAACCATTTCCCAACACTTTCACTTCTTTTGGTCTTTTTTATTTGCTCACCAGAAGACAACATCAGATTAACTGATAAAAAACCTCACCAACGGCAGTTGTGAGCACCAACAATCCGTGCTGACCCTTGGCCTCCTCCGGCTAGTACATCCCCCAAGTCCCTGAGGCGGCTTTTGCCCGCTCGCGCACCTGGCCCTATAGGCCACGCCCTCAAGTCCTCACCTCCCACTAGTACAGCCTCCAAGTCCCTGAGGCGGCTTTTGCCCATTCTGTCACCTGGCCCGACAGGCCACGCCCTCAAGTCGTCACCTCCCGCTAGTCCCTCCTCCACGTCCCTGAGGCGGCTTTTGCCCACTCTCTCACCTGGCCTTACAGGCCACGCCTTCAAGTCTTCCAAGAGGCCAGCGGAAAGCGCGGTCCACCTCCTGCTCCTCCTAGGCGTCAGCTTTATGCCCCGCCCCCGTCGCGAGGCCAGCTCCGTCCCTCGCGCTCCTTGGCTCCGCCCCCTCCAGCTCCCTAACGTCCTCCGCGTCGGGCCGGAGCCTGCGCCTGCGCGTGCGCCCTGGGGCCCAAGTTGGGTCGCGCCTTGGCTAGAGCGCGGAGAGCGGCGGGCAGTGCAGCCAATGGGAAGCGGCGTTGCCTAGCGGCTGGGAGGCGGGGCTTGCGCGGGTGTTAGGTTAGCGCGAGGCGTGACCTAGTTGACAGGCTCTGAGGTGCTGCTGTGGCGGCGGCCGCGGGGCTGAGGCGGGTGGGAGCCGGAGCCAAGCGCGGGCTGAGGGAGGAGGGCGGCGACTGGAGAGCGGCGAGCGGCGAGCAGCGCAGGACGCGGAGCCTTTTTCACTTTTTCCCTCCCGAGTGCCCCCTTCCGCCCCTCCCACTCCACACACACCCTGTTTGCCCGTGAGCCTGGGGAACTTGCAGCTTAAAGCCAGCCACCCCCACGGCAACATGTACCCCAGCAACAAGAAGAAAAAGGTGTGGAGAGAGGAGAAAGGTAACCGGCCCGTCGAGTTCTGGGGGTGCGGGCGGTGGGGGTTGGGGTGGGGGCGGGGGTCGGGCTGTGTGTGTGCCGCGACGCCCTCCGCCCGAGCTCCCGCCTCGCGCCCTCCCGGCCGGTGCCGCCTCCCTCCCGTGTCCGTGTGTACACACGCGCACACGCGCGCGCACTCCGGCGTGCACGCGCCGCCCCCGGGTACCTGCAGCTCGCGCACGTGTGGGCGCACGCCCCTCCGTGCCGCCCTCGGTGCTTGGTCACCTTCTCCCGAGGCGGTGCTGCGTTCGCCTTGCTCGCAGCGGGGACCCCGGGTGGGCAGTCCCGGGGCGGCACAAGTTCCTGTGCCTCACAGCTGGGACTTGGGTACTGTCAGTCCGGGTGTCCCGCGGACACGTGCCCGCCGGCGGGCGCTCAGGCTGCAGCTGCCGCTGTGCTCTGAGCCCCCCCCTCCCTGCACCCTCATTCCTTTCCTCCTCGCCCCTGTCCCCCCAACCCTCAAACGGCAAAGTGTCCTTACCATCGGTGTTGACCCCTTGTCTGGGTCTCCCTCCTTCAACGCCGCTGCATGACTTTTTGAAACCTGGAACTCTAGGGTAGCCCTAAAACCAGCGTGTTGTCCGTGAGGGTAACTGCCTTCAGAGAAGTCTGAATGAGCTTTTCTCCCAACAGTGTGTTTCTCTGTATTCCATCCCCATTCATGGGCTGAAGTTGCTCGGAGTAAGATTGTGTGACTAATGTCACTCTGAATGAACCCATCTCTGAATTTTGTGCGTATGAAGGTTTATCCAAATCCGCTAGATTGACAGTGGCACTGATTCTTTAAGAAACTGAAGTGTGCGATCCAGCCTCTCCCCTCAAGATCTCCCCCTTACCCTATCACAGTTAGATAATATTCTAACTGGAGTGTCTCCGGCGTTTTTTCACCTTCCTTTTCACATCCCTTTCCTTTTCATTCTTTAGCTATTTACAGAAATGTAGCAAAAACTTCTTACACTCCTATTGCTGAAATACACTAAAACCTGAATGGCAAGGGTGAGGTCTGTTGAGGGTAGTAGTGCACATTTCTCCTGGGTACCTCATCTTTACAGAAGGATATATGGTGACTAGGTAGAAAATTGATTTCCTTGTTAATATTTTGTTAAGACCTGTAGATTTTTATTGCAAGTCGTGGCCTTTGTGAACATGAAAGCTGAACAGTGGAGGTAAGAAAGGGAATTAAGGTGTAAAAGGAATCCTTAATTTGCTTCCACATTGCATGAACAAAGGCATGAGGAAGGGATTTTTTTCACATTTACTGCAGGAAGAGTTAACATAACTGAACAACACAATTAAAATGGTCTTTAAAAATATTGAAAGTTTAATCATTTCATTCTGGTGTCGTAAAACAAATGCTGTAGAGAATAATAGCCTGATACAGTAGTGTAAAATAATTTTGCTTCGTTTTTTCAGTAGTAGTTACTTTAGTTTCAACACACGTTCAATAAGGATTTACCTTGTGAACATTGAAAAATCATTTATGCCCATATTTATTGATTATGTTGAAATGTTAGCTTTGTATTGTTGATGATCATGAGGGCAAAACAGTGGAAGACATAGACATTGTTTTCACTAACATGAATCATTGATGAAATTATAGTGAGTACTTAAGAACTATTTTTCTGTCTTAATAGAAAAGCAATGTTCCTCAAGTAATACTACCATTATAATGTTTCCTTCATTTAGCATCTACACAGTTGGACTGAGACCAGCAGGCATTTAAGAATCTTTTTTAATGTCTTGATTTCTTTTCTTGTATTTCTTTTAATAATGGAGAAGATATAACCAATTTTTTTTCTAAGTAAGCAAATGCATAATTAAGGCAGTTAACAAAGTAATTATCTAAAACTAAGTTATTTTTGGCATGAAATTTAATGTTAAAAGAAAAGATTACGGTAATTTGAAGAATTTAATGCATGTCTCAGTGTTTTTTTTTTTCAGGATGTCTATGTTTTGAATATTTAAATGTAAAATATGTATTATACCCCCAAGGAGAAGCTAAAGATTTCTAGTACCACAGTTAGTATTAGAGAAGCTGATGGGATGCATGACCTTTTTCCTTTCATCCCACTGGGGAGCTGGATGTAGTATTTTTGCAGCTGTCCTTTAAAGCTAAAGGAAGGCTTACTTACCTCATTGAAATGTCAAGGCATTCTATAAACATATTTTTAACTCAGTATATCATTTAATAAGTAGGTCTGCCTACTTAGGTGCTTGGTTCACAGAGAAAGGATTCATTGTAAAGGTGAAGCATTCTTTAAAGAAAAGTTTTATGAAATGACAAAAAACTGCATATGTATTTGTGGCCTTCACTATGTTTCATTGTTTAAACAAGTAATTAAGGAGTTCTGAAGATCACATATGTTTAAATAAACATTTTTGATCAAGTATTTTGAGTCCTAATTCAGAACCACTTAATGTGCATTTTCAAGTATTGCAAGTTATTTCATTGTTTTGTCTTAAATTGATCTCGTTTTTGTTATAAGTGTTCACACTTCAACTTTTAAATAAATGGAGCAACAGAGGCCCGGTTGCATTTCTGTATGTACCTTTTGACATTTACAGAAACCATAAGTTGCTTCATAATGTCTTTTCACTTGCTCAGTAATATTGTAATAATTTTTTATTTGTGAGCTGAGCTTTTTTAGTACTGCTTTGGCATACTGCTAGTCATCTCCCTTTTCTGTCTTTATGTGATAATTCTAAATTAACCATTCTCTTAAGTTTCTTATTCTCCCAAGACCCTGTCCCCCATACTAAACAGCTGACATTGTCTTTTTAATTCAAAGAGAAAATAAATGCCATGTAATGTGAACAGCTGTAACATCCTCTTCTGTAGTCTCATTGGTCTGTTCCTTTACATGTCCTTTTGGCTTTGTTCTTAGAGGAAGCACTTTTCTTCCTGTGTGTAAAATTAACCTTTCTGCTTGCACCCTTTATCCCCTGTCTTGTATTCTTTGAGTTCTTACACAGTCGTGTGTTCTTTCTTGGGTATATTTAATTTCTTGGTGTCTTCAGGTTCTTCTCTATTGCCTGTAACAGTGCCTGGATCTCTTCTATCTTAGAGTCCCTTCCCTCTTTCCTTCCTTCCTTCCTTCCTTCCTTCCTTCCTTCCTTCCTTCCTTCCTTCCTTCCTTCCTCTCTCCCTCCCTCCCTCCTTCCCTCCTTCCTTCCTTCCTTCTTTCCTTCCTTCCTTCCGACAGGGTTTCACCATGTTGGTCAGGCTGGTCTTGAACTCCCGACCTCAGGTGATCCGCCTGCATTGGCCTCCAAAGTGCATGGATTACAGGTGTGAGCCACCGCGCCCGGCCTGGAGTCGCTTTTCTTTCATAGGGCTTCACCTTGGAGTTTCTGTTCTCACTTTACTTCTTTTGCTTAGTCCTTCATAGTCTCCTGGATTTCCATTACATTCTAATGAAACTAATATTTCTGAAGTCATTCAGTAGTAACAATCATGATAGTATTCATGTAAGAATAGTTAACATTTAAGCTCCATTTATATGCTCAGTAATAGTATTAGTAGTTTACATGGATTATCTTGTTTAATTCTCACAGCAACTCTGTGAGGTAGGAAACTGTATAAGATAGAATATTGTGAGATTAAGAGCTTTAAATACCAGTTGCCTGGGTTTGAATCCTACTTAAACTGCTTAACTAGCTGTGGGATATTAGGTAAGTTATTTGACATCGTTTTTAGTTTTCTTATCTTTAAGTTGGGAGTGATAACTACCTACTTGCCTCAAAGGGAAACTGAAACATAAAGAGGTTAAGTAACTTACCCAAGATCACACAGATTTGCACGATTTACATTATATCCCAAACAGGGCTCTCTGTTAACCACATTTCCTCTTTTCCATGCTGTTGGCAACCACATTGATAATAGCAGGTTAATGGCTAAGTAATTTTCACTTTTTCTGACCTTCCTGTAACAGTTGACGGTATTTCCCTTTTTCTAGAATTTTGATTAAAACTGTTTCCTAAATGTTTTCACATTACTAGGAACCTGTACCCCTGTTGACAACTAAGATTTGTTTTCCCCTTCGTGCCCACTTCCTAAATACTGTGTTTTGAGGTTTGATGCTCCCTTCTGTTCCCTCTTTTTTTTAATTTAGGACTAGAAGTTTGGGTTATAATTTCTAAAATCTCTAGGCTAGACCACTCTTCAAATTTCCAGATTCTTGATTTCACCTTCTTGAGTGTCCTATAGGTACTTTAAACTCAATTTTTGTGAATGTGTCGCTTCTGATTAAGATATCTTATTTTGGCCAGGCGCATTAGCTCAAGCTTGTAATCCCAGCACTTTGGGTGGCCGAGGCAGGTGGATTACGAGGTCAGGAGTTTGAAACCAGCCTGTCCCATATGACTAAACCCCGTTTCTACTAAAAAATACAAAAATTAGCTGGCCCTGGTAGCATGTGCCTGTAGTCCCAGCTATTCAGAAAGCTGAAGCAGGAGAATTGCTTGAACCTGGGAGGCGGGGGTTACAGTGAGCCAAGATCGTGCCACTGCACTCTAGCCTGGGCGACAGAGTGAGACTTTGTCTCAAAAAAAAGGATATCTTTATTTTTGGTCTCCTAATGTGGCTGAAGTTTCAGTTACAGGAGTGGGAAAAATATCGGTTCCCCATTTTCACTTGTGCTTACATTAATACTTCTGCAGTTTATTTCTGTGAAATAATCTTTTAAAGTGGTTATTTTGTAAGGTTCAATTACCTTAAACTAGATACTAACTATCCCTAAATCCATTTACCTAAATTGCAATACCTTGTGATACACTAAAAGAGAATTGGAGAGTATGATAAATAACTGTCTCTCTGCATTGCGGAGACCATTGGTACGGTATGTGAGACATGACAACTGACATACAGAGTGAGAATGTCGGTGTCAGTTTATACATTGAATATTGGTAAATATTTCTTCCTTGTTTAGGTTAAAAACAAATGTAAATAGAACTTTTTACATGTTTTCCTGTGTCTTAGTGGGTTGTTTTATATACCATCTGGGATATGCATCATCAACTTTCAATATTAGTAGTCTATATAGGATAAAGGTTAAACTGCTTCCTAGGGCGTGCAAATCCCTGCACAGTTTTGTTTTACTTTGTTCTGGCTACTTTTCACTTGTGTGGCCATTCCTCTTCTCGTACCATATCTTGCAGCTTCATTTAGTTACAGTATCCATATCTCCTTTGTTTACATTGTTAGTCTGAAATGTTCTTTTACTTCTTCATGCAACACTCTTCCTGTCCTTCATGAATCAGCATACATATTACCTTTTTGGGGGCATTTTCCTGAGAATGTAGTGTATGTAGTACAGTGGAATAAATAACATAGGGTGTAGTCTTTGACTAATGGAGATGTCTGTCTGAATTTTAATTTTCGCTTCCTGAAAGCTCTCTTGCTTTGGGCAAATTACTTTGCTGTGCTTCATTTCCCTATCTGCAAAATTGGGATAATACTATCAATTTTATGAGTTATTAGGAAGATTATTTTAATGAGATTTACATGTGAAGTACCTGGCACATAGTGAGTTCTTTATAAATGGCATCGACTGTAATTAAATCTCAGATGCAATTTGTAAAATATTTTCATTTTATAATCAAGATACATATATATTTAAAGCGATTCTTATATCAGCCACACAAAGCTGTAAGAAAATTGAGGGTGCAATTGAGGAATTATCTTGGTGGCTGCCTTTTTGGTGCTCTTACTATTTGCACTTACCTGTCTTAGCATTTTATTTATATAGATAATATTTTGTATCTTACCGTGTTAGGCTGTTCTTGCAGTTACTATAAAGAAATACCTAAGACTGAGCAACTTCTTAAAAAAATATGTTTAATAGGCTTACGGTTCTGCAGGCAATACAAGGATAGCATTGACATCTGTTAGGTTTTCTGGGAGGCCTCAGGGAACTTTTACTAACTGGGGAAGAGGAAGCAGGAGCAGGTACTTCACATGGCAAGAACAGTAGCAAGATAGGGTCGGGGGGGAGGTGCTACACACTTTTAAACAACCAGCGCTCACAAAAACTCACTACCTTGAGGGCAGCACCAAATCATGAGGGATCTGTCCCCATGACTCAGTCACCTCCCACCAGGTACCACGTCCAACATTGGGGATTACATTTCAACATAAGATTTCAGGGGATATATATCCAAACCATATCACTTATCCAGCATATCATCTGGCACATAGTAGACTGTAGATGTTGATTGAAAGTGTAAATGAGTTATTTCTTGGACTATCACAAGAGAATCTTCATCAGGCTTTTATTTTTTTCTTCCGTGGTAATATGAAACTTAACATTTTTTAACACTTTAGATTGGATTTGCATTGTGTTCTTCAGAACTGTATCAAGTCTTTTGTTTGTTTAACTTGGTTAATACTTAAAAGTATAGAAGTAATTCCCATGTTTAAACGTTAAATACAAATGAAGATTCTGCTTTTATTTTGCAAGAACGTTTACTGAAGATGACCGTAGAGGAGAGGCGCAAAGAATACCTAAGAGACTATGTTCCCCTGAACACCATTCTGTCGTGGAAGGAGGAGGTGAAGGGCAAGAGCCAAAATGATGGTAAGTTTCTTGGAACATTTTTTAGGTAGATACTGTTCCCATTTATTTATGACTCCTGCAGGACAATTGTTGGCAGAAATGAATAATTGGCATTCAATAAAGAGATTACTATTTTGCTATTTGAAATTATTGCTTGGTTGTAATGTAATTATTTTTAGTAACCCGTGGTGTTTTTTAAACTTACGAAAATATATTAACAATTTGTTTTCTGAAATATACCACATTTATAATATGGTACTTTTTTTTTACAGGTCATTTTTTTAATTTATTTTTTTATTTCTATTCTGTGATAGTTCTTGGAGCAAATGCTATTAGAGATTTGCTGCTTTGGTGGTGTGGCCCTTTGACTTTGCTTTAAGTTCATTTATAATGGATTTCTTTAATGTTATTTTAAGGACTGGATATAGTCCAAAGAGAGTATATTAGGAAAAAAAGAAAAACCAAAGAACATTTCTCATTATTTTAGAGAGGAATATATTTTGTATGGTGTGTTATGTCTATATGTAAAGTATTTGTATGATAGAGTTTACTCTCAAAGTCTTTAGGATTTGATTAGAGTCTAGATTATATTAGAATATAAAGGAAATTTTAATGATTAAAAAGGTACATGAAAAAGCTAAAAACATAATAGATTTAATGGATGTTTAATATGCTTTTCTTTGAATTCACACTCATTGGTATTAATGATCTGGATGTGAAGTTTAGACAAACAGGGTACTTCTTAGGGTACTTAACAGTTGAGAAAGATGACTTTATGAAATGGACTTGGAATATGCTAATTTCACAGGTTTGGTCTTAGATTGATGGAACTACACAGGGTACTATGGACCCAGAAAATAAAGATTAGCATGGAATTCTTAGGGATAAAATCTTAAGGGAAAGATTAGGCTTTGATGTCGGTGAAGAAAACACATTGACCTGAAGATTTAGGTTTCAGACAGAACTTTTTCTACAAAGGCAAAGCATATGGGATTAGGAATGAAAAGATGTGGGTTCTTTTTGACCTTAAATATCCTGGAAATGTGTGACATTGGGGTAGCGGCTCTACACAAGTTCTAATGGGGTCATTGGACAAGCTGATTGGGATGTGCATATCTAACCTGTCTGCCCAGTGTCTTCTGTAAAGGCAACTTGTTTTAAGAATCATCTGATTCCCAACTGGTAGGATTGGCCCTAAGAAGGCCCTGCCTGACCATATAAGCATCGTGGAACCCCAAAGATGAGATACTGCCCACCTCCCCCATCTCAGAACAGAAGGGTGGGAAGCTAGATCCGCCTGCCATGCACCATCCAGTCCCCACAGCGTAACAGGGCCTCCTTGGCAGCTGTATTCTGGAGTCTGGATATTGCTCTGAAAAGGCCTTAATAAAATCTTGTACAAAGGAAAAAAGAACAATGGTCTGATTAAGACATCACTGAGGCCGGGCGTGGTTGCTCACGCCTGTAATCCCAGCACTTTGGGAGGCCGAGGCGGATGGATCACCCGAGGTCAGTAATACGAGACCAGCCTGAACAACATGGAGAAACCCCGTCTCTACTAAAAATACAAAATTAGCGGGGCATGGTGATGTATGCCTGTAATCCCAGCTGCTCGGGGGGCTGAGGCAGGAGAATAGCTTGAACCCAGGAGGTGAAGGTTGCGGTGAGCCCAGATTGTGCCATCGCACTCCAGCTTGGGCAACAAGAGTGAAATTCCATCTTAAAAAAAAAAAAAAAAAAGGACATCATTGAAAGAAGTGAGTGCTGTGTAATGAAAAGAATGCAGGGCTAGAAATTGGGGGAACAGAATTCTGGTCCCTTTTCTTACTTAAGGCTATGTGCTTCTTCATGTTTGTTTATAAGCACCTGGTATTAAATATTTCAGCAGCTTTTTCTTCTTTTAAATGGCTACAGGTTGAGTATTGCTTATCTGAAATGCATGGGACCAAAAGTGTTTGGGGTTTTGGATTGTTTGGATTATGCTTACTGGTTCAGCATCCCTTATTCAGAATTCAAAATGTTCCAGTGAGCACTTCCTTTGAGCATCATGTTGTTGCTCAAAAAGTTTCAGATTTTGGAGCATTTTGGATTTTGAATTTTTGCATTAGGACTACTCAACCTGTAGTAAATGTTCCCCAAATCAGAAGAGAAAACGTTGAATAGAATAACACCTGACATAGTTATCCTCTAATCCTGTCTCCCAGTATGAGCTTTATAAGTGGTTTACAACTGCTCTGTGTGTTTTTTTCCCCTTATGCTGTTTTAAACTTGAAAGTCCTCCATGGGTAACAAGGCAATGTGATCAAAGTTATATTTCTATTTTTTTTTTTTTTTTGTCTAATACCTGAAGTGTTACTTGCTCCTCTCTTTTGTGACCTACAAACTGGTGACTGGCGTCTTCTTTTTTCTTGAAGAAGAATGGCTTATTTTACAAGTAATATTTGTAAATGTTTCTATATAATACACATCTTTCATATGTACTTTTTGTGTTACCTATTCAGTGCTCAGTTATTAGAAAATATTAGTTGAGAGTTTTAGTGTTTTAACAGCTTAAAAGAGCCTTTAAAAATATAAATTTGCAAAAAATAATAAAGGACAACTATACATATAGTTGTATTTGAAATGTTTTAAGTCATTGCTTATACATGTATGTATATAAGTAGGTATTGATATTTATATTCAATGTGGGATTTTAAACTAAGTATTAAAAGAAGTCTATAATTCCTTGTCACTTAGTTTCTAATTGTAGGAAATGAACAATATTTATTGGGGCAGGATAGTATATAAGTTTTAAATTGAGTGGCTTATCATTACTTATGTTTTTATAGAGGGCCATTTTTTTCTAAGTATCCATGGGTACTTGAAAAGTTCTTGAGCTGTTGCTTTTAATTTTTTTCTTGCTTTGTTCAGATTTTTTTTTAACTTTACCCAAATGCTACATGTTATTATAGTATAGTAGAAAATTAAATAAAAAAGAGGGGAATGGCCAAATGTATTTGTAACAGTTTGGATTTTAAGCTTTCTTGAAACAAAAGGAAACCAAATATTGCCAAGCAACACAAAGTCAGTGTTTGTGTGGAAAGGAGGAAGCAAGTAGATAATATTTTTACTTTGACTTACCCCTTTGGCAATATTGGAAAGCCATGGATTAGAAGAGGAAAGAATGAGAGATGACTACCTAAAAATAAAAAACAAAACCAAAAAACAAAAACCCCACCCAGAAAAACCCATTAAATATACAAATTGCTTGCTGTTTATGTTCATATTTGTCAACTATTATTAGCTAATCTCTGGATTTACGTATTTCTAATTACTTCTTCTGTATTAGCAGTTATGTAATAATTCACTGTCATTTGTCAGTTGCTATGTTGCAGGGATTTAAAAAGTCTTGTCTCTCCTATTGTACTATGTCTCTAGCACCTGGAATGGTGACTTATGTGTTGGTGGGGCTCAATCAGTATGTTAAATAAGAATGCCTCAGGAGTTAATATGTCTACAAGAGACAGTTCTTTTCCCAAACTTTTTGTTTTGATACGGAATCTTACTCACTTTGTCACCTGGGCTGGAGTGCAGTGGCATGACACTGCAGCTTTCACTTCCTGGGTTCAAGCGATTTTCCTGCCCAGCTCCTGCCTAGCTGGGATTATAGGTGTGCACTACCACACCTGGCCAATTTTTGTATTTTTAGTGGAGATGGGCTTTCACCATGTTGGCCAGGCTGGTCTTAAATTCCTGATTTCAAGTGACCACCTGTGTTGGCCTCTTAAAGTGCTGGGATTACAGACATGAGCTACTGTACCCACCTCTTTCCCATACTTTTAATGGGCATTTAAAAATACCTGTAAACCTAGAATACGAAGCGCCACAAAATTATGATCTGGTCATAAACAGACTGCATATATGATGGTGGTCCCATAAGATTATAATACTGTATAGTATAATACTATAATACTATGCCTTTTCTGTGTTTAGGTAGATTTGAATACACAATGACTTACCATTGTGTTATAGTTGAGTACAGTATTCTGTAGAGTAACATGCTGTACAGGTTTTAGCCTAGGAGCAATTAACTGTACCATATAATCTAAGTGTGTAGTAGATGATACCATCTAGATTTTTGTAAGTATATCTTATGATGTTTGCACAGCAATGAAATCACGTAACAATGTCTTTCTCAGAACATAATGCCATTGTTAAGCAATGCATGATTGTAGCAGCGCATCCATTACCCAGTTGCAACAGTTATTACATGGCCAGTTTCATTTCATCTATACCAGTGCTCCCTACACCTTCCCCCCAGACTATTTTGAATGAAATCACATATCAATTTTATCTATAAATGAATACCTGTATGTATGCATATGTATGTATCTCTAAAAGATGGCATATTTTTCTTGTTTTACTAAAATATTACTGCTAAAATTGAATTTTATATCCATTTAGTATTCATATTTTCCACATTGTCTCATAAAGGATTTTTTTTGTACAGTTGATTTGCTTGAATCAATATCTAATCAAGGTCCGTATATTGCATTTTATTAGTATGTTCCTTAAGTCACTTTTAATCTGTACTTACCTTTCTCTGTCCTTTTTTTCCTTCCTCCTTTATAATTTATTTCTCGAATATACTGGCTCTCCTGCAGAATTTTTCATATTTTGAATTTTGCTTACTGCATCTCTGTGGTATCATTTAACATGTTCCTCTGTCCCCTTTATTTCTTATGAGTTGGTAGTTAAATCCAGAGGTTTGTTCAGAGTTGGGTTTAAATTTTTTTGAAAGAATATAAAAAATTGTGCATCTTTTTGCATCGTATCATGAGGCACCTAATGCCTCATTGTCTCTCTCAGTAGTGATAAGATTGATCCCTGGGTTCATGTATTGTCCACTGAATATTGTCACTAAACTGTCTAGTGTAAAGTTCCCTGACAACCTTTTACCTAATGGCTTTAGCAGCCACTCAGGATTATTGCTTAGATCCATTACTTTATTAAGAGTTGCAAAATTGTGTTTTTTGAATTTT